ATGCCCGCAGCAGCCCTGGCTCCCTTTGGAAGCGCTCCCTGGAGGCAGGCATCATCTCATGCCTTCTCGCAGGAACACTGCCGGGGAGCTGCTAGGCCTAGCCCCATTAGGGATGGGGAAACCGAGGCTCTCAAGGGTCAGTGACTTGCCCAGCATCACGCCAGGAGCCGGTGGTATGTTCCTGCTGGGATTGGACAAGCTGCCAGATCTGGAGCAGGGGGTGCAGTTCGAGGGGCACTGGGGGGTCATCTCAGTGAATGGCGAGGATGAGTGAGTAAGTGAGCCTATTAGCAAGTGAATGAAAGACGGAATGAATACAAAGGCTGTTTAAGAAACTCTGCCCCTGGGGAGGCCTGAAAGGGCCACAGGTCTCACCCTAGTTGCCCCCACTCCAGGGAGACCCCTGAGATTAATGGGCCACAGATAAAGGCCCAAGTCTCACCTCCCCAGAAACAAGGATCCCTCACTTCCTAGGTTCCAGGGGTCCCTTGGCTCGTCCAATGCCCCCCACTGAGCAGTGCGTCTCTGGCCTGTCCCCCAACACCACCTTCATCCCAGCTCTCCCCCAAATGCCAGAAGGGTAGATCACCTGCCCTGGTCCCCACTGTCACCTGCACCCTTGCCCAGGGCTGAACTCCCGCATAGGATTGGGGCCTGGGGAGAGGCCGAAATAGGGGAAAAGCTGACCTCCCCTCGTCACCCACTCTGGCCCCTCCCATCCCCTTTGCAGCTCATATTGGGGAGTCCCTGGGTTGGGGGTGGCATACACTTGCTTCCCAGGAGCTTGGGCAGTAGGGTGCTAGAGCCCCCTGCTGGCCACGCATCCCCCTCCATTCCCCGCCCCGCAGGGATGGGTTGGGAGAATTCTTCATTCACTCAGCAAGTATTTATGGAGTGCCTACTGCATGCAAGGCCCTGGGCCCAGCCATTCCTGCACACACAGAGCCTTCCTTCTGATGTCTCTGGTTCTGCTGAGAAGACTTTGCGTGTTATGTGTCTTCTCACCACCTTCCCAAGGACTGTCCCCATGCCAACTCCTTGTGGGCTGGAGCTGTGCCTCCCTCATCAGGCTGGGATTTCCCCAGGACATGGTTGTGACACTGCCATCAGACCTGAGAAATGCAACCTGCCTTTCCTGAGAAATCTCTCTCCCCACTCTTAGCACCTCCCTGGAGAGGGTTGCCAGATAAAATACAGGCTGCTCAGCTAAATTTGAATTTCAGACAAACACAGAATAATTTTTTTAGTATAAGTATGTCCCAAATATCACACAAGGTATACTTAAACTAAAAATTATTCCTTGTTTATCTGAAATTCAAATTTAACTGGGCACCGTGGGTTTCTATTTGCTAAATCTGGCAACCCTAGACCTGGAGCTCTTTCCTCCTGCTGGAAGTGGGCCTGGCCAGATGGTGCAGGTCGCATCTGGACTTGGCTCCTGCCTGCCCAGTTATAGCTCCCACTGGTCCCCAGGACTGCTTCCCTCCCTCACTGGGCCACACTTGAACCCCCAGCTCCTGGGTGGACACAGCTGACCACCACCTGGTGCACAGAGCCCAGCGTATGAACCATTTGGAACGCTGTGTCCTGCCTCCTGCGTGATGGGTCCAGAGAGAGAGGGGGACGGAAGCACAGCTGCAGAGGGACCACAAGTGTTAGAGACGAGAGAGGCAGAGACACAGAGATAAAGGGACACTGGAGACAGAGGGGGAGACAGACAGAGAGCTTCAGGACCTCTGCCCAGAGCTGCTTTGGGAGACTGGTAAAGGGGGTGGAGGGTCCTGAAAGCCCACTGGGATTTGCCTGAGTGAATCGGGGCAGAGGAGAGGTGGGGTCCCTAAGCCACAACACTGGGCCCCAGACGGGCCGGTCCTGGGAGGCAGGGGCGGGAGTCCATTCGGAGGCCGGCCCTGGCCCCTGAGCTCTCCCCTGGCCCTGCCTCCCAGGGGCAGACACAGGGACATTCATGGCTTCCCAGAAGGGCTTATGGGGCAGCCAGAGTGGCTTTTAAAATTAGCCTCGCTAACCAGATCTAGTTATTTCAGGAGGCTCCGTCCCCTTGGCAAGGCGGGAGCAGGGAAGGAGGGAGAGACCTCCACATTCCAGGGTCCCTGGCTGAGCACCCCCTGTGGCCTGGGCAGCACAGAACATCCAGCTCCCAGCCCCCTGGCACTGGGCCGGCTTGGGCCTGTGCTCATCTCCTTGGAAAAGTTGCCCCAAGGTTGGCTATGGATGTCCAGGGACACCCCAGCTGAGGGGGCAGGGGAGGACCCCCTCGTATTGGGCATGGGTTCTGTGCCAGCAGCCACCCCAGGTACCTTAAGGCCAAGACGGCCTCTTCAGAGCAATAGGTAGGGGCCTTGTCCTCATTTCCAGGTGAGGAAACTGAGACTCAGAGAGACAGGAGGCCCCTGCTGTGAGGCAGGGCAGATGAGGAAGGTCGAGTCTTCCAGGCACCCAAGTCCCTCCACGGGAGGCCTCTTCCCTCCTGCGTGTGGAGGAACCCCCTGGCTGCTGTTTCCACCAACAGAGTAATTTCTAAGCAGAGTCCAGTGCTTCCTGGAGCCTGGTACCCCCGCCCAAGTCCTAATTCTAGCCTCGGGTCAGAGTGTCCCGGCTTGCCCTCCCACCTCAGAGCCCAGGGCGAGCACAGAGCTGGCGCAGACACAAGAGAAACAGCTCTGGACACTTTGATCCCAGAGGCCTGATCCATCGCCAGCCTCCCCTTACCCCACCTCAGAGCTTGGAGGGGTGCGGTGGGGTGAAACCCAGCCCAGAGGCCTTCCTTCCTGCAGACGGGCCTGACACCAGCCAGACAGGGATGGGGCAAAGGCAGGTTCTGCCCACTGAGCTGCCCACTGAGCTGCCATGGCAGATCCTGCTGTTCTGTCTCCCCTGCAGGATAGAACAGAGTGGGGGTGCATTGCTAAGTACAGGGAGACATGCTGGGGACCCCCCCAGCTCTGTTATGGAAGCATCCTCACCCCAGGTAAACCTGGCAAGCTGAGGCCCAGGGAAGCACCTGACATGGTCCATTCCCAAAGCCTCACATCCAGGCGCCTGCACTGGGCCCAGCAGCAGGTGGGCGACTCCACATACTCTGAATTACGGACGTCATCAATCCTTCCCTCCCCGCCGGCGTGCACACTCTCTTCTTTGAGCCCACCATGGGCTGGGGCTGCACCGAGAACTTTATGAGGTGGCACCTCATTGAATCCTCATGCCAGGGTGCCAGTGAGGGTAGGGCTGTTGGCACCCCCACTGCACAGATGAGGAAACAGGCCCAGAGAGCCAAAATCATGTGTCCATGGTCATAGAGCAAGGGGGCAATGCAGCTCAGAGCTGACTCGGAAGAAGCTCTTCACCGTGCTACTGCACTGTGGGGCCAGCGCTGCAGAGGTGGGGCGGGAGGACAGAGGGCACAGGAATGCGGCGGAGGGGGAGCTAAGGGATAGGGAGCAGGGGTGCGGCTGGTGGGGGAGTGGTTTGCAGGGGACTCACTGAGCCCAGGGCAGCCTAGAGCCAAACCCAGTTGGGTGGTGCTGGGGTTTGGGTGTGAGTCACCACCCATGGGTGGCCTGAGGCATCAGAGGGTCACAGAAGGGCCCTGTCAGGAAAAGCGTGGCACTCCTTGGACAACCCCCTGGGGTGCCTTCAGCATCATCCTGGGAAGGGGGCAGGGCCAGCAGGGGCTGGGGGGCACTGCCAGGCTGTCAGGGAGGCCAAGCCATGGCTGATCCTTCTGGGGCCCAATTTGGTGCCTGCTCCCAAGCCCAATGTCCCCAGTGCACCCTGCAAACCTGCTCTCCTCTGTGGTCCTGGCCCTGAGGAGCCCCTTCACTCACCCAACACCCAGGCTGTACTACGGGGAGCCTCCTGATTCCCCACTCAGCCCCACAGCCCATCAGGCACTCGGTCCCCCTGCCCAGGCTCACCCGGTGTCCTCCTCAGCATCCTCCTGGCCACCCTCTTCCCCCAGCAACAGCCTCCTTGGTCCCCTCCTCCCTCTGCTGGTGTTGCCTCCACCAGCAACTACAGCTCCTGCCCGGGCTCCCCCTGCCCTCGGCGCAGAGCCCTGGCCCCTCAGTCTGGAGTTCAAGGCCACATTGCCTCTGGCCTCATCCCTACCCACCTCCCTGTCCCCTCCATTGTCACCCTCCCACCATTCCAAGAGGGCTGCCACCTTCGGGTTCCAGGGTGGATTGGGACAGAGGAGAGGTGGGGTCCCTAGACCCCAACACTGGGCCCCAGCACTTTCACTCAAGGCCCCATCCTGCAGGGCCCCTCCTCCCTAGGTCTTCCCAGGAACGGGGAGCAGCTCTGGGGACTCTCCCTGACACCTCTCTCTCCAGGCCCTGCTTGTGTACACCTCTCCTGTTCCCTGGCTGCCCCTCCTCACCCTTCATCCTACTGTCCCAGCTGTGAGCTCCTGGGAGATGGACCTTGGACTCATCCCCATCTCCTGGGCCTCCATCCGGGCCGGTAAGTGATCCCTTGGCGCCCCCTGGTGGCCATATAAGGGGATTCACTGAATATGAGAGCGGGGAGAAGGAAGCAATTAATTGAGCACCTACTGTGTGCCAGACACTGTGTGCTGTATGTTTGATATGCACCAACTCATTGAATCCTCATAACAAACCCTTGGGAGAGGCACTACCATTCCTATTTTACAAAAGTAAACACAGGCTTACAAAGGCTAATACATTTCTCAATGCCACCCATTCAGCTGACGAGACAGTGCCAGGACTCAAATCTGTCTGACTGACTATACAGCCATGTTCTTCCTGCAGTGAGGAAGGGGCACAGAGTACAGGGAAGGACAGCACCCGAGGAGGAAACCAAGGGCGATGCTCACAGAGCCAGTGGCTTGGCTTTGGAGGAGTCCTCAGGCCCAGCAGCTCTGATGGGGACAGGCTTGACCCCTGCCACCTTGGCATCCCTGGACATCTGTCTGGGGTCAACCTGGCCATGGTTCACACAAAGCCAGGCCCAACTCTGAGTACAATAGCGATAAATAGAATTTATTTTATACAACTGTTACCGACATCCACACGGCCACAGGGGCTTCCAAAATGGGTGTTGGGGCTGGGAGGCTGGCCTTTGGCATGGCGCCTAAAAAGTGTGGCAGATACACAAGGGCTCCCAGCAGCTGCGCCTGGCTGCCCCTCCATGGCGGTGGGGGCAAGGCCTGGACTCACGGCCAACTGAGACTCTCGGCGTGGAGGGCCCAGCGGCATGGGATGGCAGGGGTGAAGCTGGGTGCTGACTGAAGAGCCAGGGAGGTCCCCATCCCCAATGAGGGGGTCATTTGTCTGTTATGTGCAGGCAGTGGACAGGGCACTGGCAGACCTGTGGCAGAACTGGAGGGTCTGGGAGGTGCAATGGGCACAGCCAGCTCCCTGCCCCTCTGCCCACCTGGGGCCCCAGGGACCTTAAGAAGCAGGGTAGAGTGATGGGAGGTCCCTGGGAAGAAAATCCCAGCTTCTAGGGCAGATACATGTAATCAGTCATCAGTGACTTCTGAAATAATCATGTCCATTTGTAGCAGAAGTGCCCAGAGAGGGAGAGTAACTTGGCCAGAGTCACACAGCAGAACCCAAATCAGAAACCAGGACCCCTGACCCCCAACCTAGTGCTCACTCCCCAACATGTCACATCCACTTCCTGCTGCCTTCAGGGAGTAAGCTCTCCGCACTGAGCTGTCTCAATCCCTCTCTCCCATTGTGTTCCCTCTGAGTCCAGAGGGATGCTCAAGGGTGATGGAGGCCCAGGGTGGGGGCAAGCCAGGTCCCCAGTCTTGCTTCCACTGAGCAATCCTTGCCCCAGCCCGGACCCCCAGGCTGGGGGTGGGGACGATGCCAGCAGCTTCCCCAATCCCAAGTCTGGATGGCTCTGCCCTGCAGAGACAGCCCAGATGGGTGGGCCATGGGGAGGGTGGAGAGGCAGGGGGCGGCCCACGGGCTGGTGTTGGTCTTCAGGGCAGAGGTCCCATCTGCCTGGACTTGACACGGCATCTTCCCCTTGTGCTTCCGTGGCCTCATCTACAGGGCAAAGGGGGATGGAAACACCGTGAAACTTGGCATGGTGGGTGGTTGGCACCAGTGTCCCCCAACTCTACCAAGTCCCCGTCTCAGGGAACCCCACCCTGGGAGGGGCCTGCCCTTGGAATTCCAGGCTTCTGGTCTTTCCATCCCACTGGGAACCCTGAAACTTCCTCCCACCCGGCAACTCCAAGCCCCTTTCACACCCCCATCAAATCCTCCAATAATTCCAGGGCAGAGGTCCCAGGGACGGGCCGTGACCTGCCCAAGTCACCCAGCAACAGAGTGTCGGGTTCAGATCTAGATACATAGCTCTCACCCCAGAGAGGTGGCAGAGGAGCAGGGAGGAGTCAGCTCAGCCCCCGACACACTCCCACCCTCTCCCGCCAAACACAAGCTGAGGGGCTGGGTCTAACCTGCTCAGTTGCACCTTCAGAGGGGGCGGCTGGGCTAACAGCCCTGCAGACAGACAGTGGCAGCGAGGCAGGCAGCAGGACAGGAGAAGCAACGGGGTGAAAGACACAGGTGCGCAAAGTCACTGGTCGTCTCCAGGCCGGCAAGCCCCACCCCGCCTGGCCTGGGGGACCTCTCTCGGTTCAGCCTCAGCTCCCAGTCTCCCCTCCAGGTCATCCCCTCCCCGGTGGGGCTCCCCCAGTGCCAGCCCCAGAGGGCTGCACATACCAGCTGGGTTGTGTGCTGCTCAGATGCTTCCAACTGGATCTTGATCTCGGGACACGCAGGGTCCCCCAGCTTGCCGGCGTCTGGGTGGGGTGATCGAGAGGGGCCTGGGGAGGGGGGCAGGAGGGAGCCACCTCACTGGCCGCGGGGAGGCACCAGGGAGACGGGGGCACAGGTGGGCGGTCGGCACCAGTGTGCTCCAACCCCACCCCTAACTTTCTTCCTTGCCATCCCACATTGTCCTCCGAGACCCTTCCAGAAGAAACCAGCCCTCCAATCTGCCCAGCCACCCTAGGCTGGACAATGACCTGCCCGCTGTCCTCCAAGGCTGGGGCAGTCACATCACACACCCACCATGCGGGGCATGGGAACTGGCACCCCAGCCCGTGCCCAACCCTGTCCTCCTCCTACCCCAAGGGTAGCCCTGCTTCGTGGGGAAGCTGCACTGTCCTGGTACCTGGGGAGCTGCCCCCACTAGTGGTGCTGACACTGTCCTCCAGCCATGTGCTATAGATGAAGGAGTCCCGCTTGTGGGGTGTTCCAGAGGACGACACACTCTCCTGCGGAGGGTTGGAGAGAGGGAGGGAGGTTAGCGCATGTCCTTGGCCCTGGCTAGGGCCCCCACCCAGCCCCTCTCCCTCACTGCACTCCGCGTCCTCCACCTGTGCCTCCTGCAAGGACTGGCCCAGCCATGGCTGCCAGGGAGACCACAGGAGGGCAGAGGCAGGGCCGGCACAGACCCAGGCACACCCCACACACTGCCACACATTTATTCAACAAACATTCACTGATGCTCTCCAGGGCTTGCCATGACATAAATCAGGCATGGGCCCTGCCCACAGGAGCCCAATGTCCGGGAGGTGAGGCAGGCTGTGAAGAGACCGTTGTAATTCTGGACTCTGTGCCCCAGCAGGCAGGACCTGGATCTGCGCTGTTCCTGGCTGCACCTGCTGCACCTGGGGCAGCACTTGGCAAGGAACAGGGGCCCACTGATGGTTTGCAGAATATAGAATGACAAAAGGTGTGCCGGGCAAAGCCCGGGGACTGTGAGAGTGCAAAGAGAGTTCCTAACCTACCCTGGGACTAGGAAATCAGGGAAGGCTTTCAGGAGGAGGTATGTGAGACTCAGTCAAAAAGGATGAGTCAGTCAGCCCGGTGAAGAAAGGAGGAGGACGCAGGAAGAGTGCTCCAGACAGAAGAGATGGCACATGCAAAGGCCCAGGGGTGCAGGAAGCCCAGGAGGCTTGGGGGATTGCAAGGGAGTATGATGCGGTGGTAATGTCTGAGGTGGTAAGAGAGGAGACTAGAGAGGAAGAGAGCGACCACATCTCCAAGAGCCCCAGAGACGGAGCTTCCTGTGGACAGTGCTGGGGAGCCATGGCAGGCTTCTGAGCAGGGGAGGTTCGTCTGCACTGCTCCTTTGGGCTGGGTCCCCTGATCACATCCCAGCCACACCCAGGCTCATGCTTCTACTCAAGGCACCTCCAGGGACCTAAGGGCCCCCATCCAAGCTCCTGTGGAGCCCCTGACCCCCTGAGACTCTCACCAGGCCGGTGTCCTCTCCATCCACGCCCTCCGTCTCCTCCACCACGCTGGCGAAGCTGCTGGCACTGGACGAGGAGCGGGAGAAGTCCTTGAGCGCCTCTGCTCTCTGCGCGGTAGTCTCCGCTCTGCCGTGGACAGCGCCGCATTAGCCGCCATCCACCCAGAGTCCCTCCTGGGCCAGGCCCTCACTCCCTGGCCTCCCCAACCTGGGAGGCCTGGCCTGGAGCAGTCAAGCACCTTTGGGGACCCCTTACAGGTCCTTGGGTCTCTGATCCCCTCAGACTCCCGCTGCAGCCTCCTACTCCCCACACTGTCCTTCCTAATCTGTAAATCTGACCATGCTCCTCCCCTGCTCACAACCCTCTCCTGGCTCCCCATTCCCCCAGATAAAGCACAACGTCCTCAGCGTGGCGATTACTCAGCGTGGCGATTCATAACAGTAACATCACTGGGTGCAGCGCACTGCACCGGGGCCTGCTCCATGTGCCTTTACCTGAGTTAGCTCACCGCTAAGATTATGACACCTATCTTCCAGATGAGGAGACGCCAGGCACAGAGGGGGCAGGCACACGGCCAGGGCCACTCAGCACAGGCGGAGGGCAGGGGAGGAGCCTAGGCAGCTCCCATAGCTGGTCTACAGTCTACTCTTAACCCCACAAGCAGGCCGGGCGCGGTGGCTCAAGCCTGTAATCCCAGCACTTTGGGAGGCCGAGGCGGGTGGATCACAAGGTCAAGAGATCGAGACCATCCTGGTCAACATGGTGAAAC